ATTGAATCATATTTTTTGAGCTGTCATCTTGCCAGATAACTTAAGAATACCAATATCTCTGATATGAGACATATTAACATGACAGAACCAAATCCTTGGTCACCCTTGATAAATATTATATATGTATACATAATGCATTGAGGTAGCTTATTTTAAAATATTAGTTGCAACGTGAAGAACATATAATTGCTCTTAGAGGAAAATATAGTTTTAACCTACCTCATTGTTGAAAAGTGTAATATAGAGTGACTTTTTCATTTTTCAACACATTAGCTCCATAGGTTCCCAGTAGGACCTAATTTAGTGGTAATGTGGGTAATAATATCTATGTAAACTGCATAAGTTGAAAAAATGTGTATGAATTCTTTTGAATTTTTCAATTGCCTGCTTGCACCAAAGCCTCCTAGAATGCTTATATTAATGAGTAGGTAGGTTTATGAAACCATGAACAGAAAAGTTCATGACACCACCAGCCTAAGTATATTATAGTTGTGTTGTTGGAATATAAAGAGACTCTCCCAGCCAGTAACAGTGAAGTCTGTTAGAACTGTTTTAGATTTGATTCAGCCTGTAGCGAAACCAATCGGGGTGCAGTTTTCACTGTCCAGGATCATCTCCCTCTTGGTAACTTGATTTTATTCTGTGTCAGGGTCATTTGCTCTTGCAAATGAGTACTTCTGGTCAGTAGGTGGCTCATGAAAGTAAGAGAACCAAGGAGAAAATACTCAGTGTAATTAAGGAAACTATTGATATCATGTTAATACTCTCTTTAATTTTAATTTTCATTCATTCAGACCTACAAATGTTTATACATATTATAACACAATAGTATTTGCTTCTTTAGTTATTACTTTTTGCAAAAAACCCTAAGAACATTTTTTATTTTTTAAGTTAATATGCACTCTAACATGTATGCTATCAATACTATTGATTTTCTTCATAGAAGTTTTTTTTTTCCTCTTCATAGACAAGAAGAAAAAAAAAAAAGCGCCATGATGTGAATTGTAATCAGTTTCAAGTTGGCAAAGTCAAGCGTGATGAATGTTGATTGTATGTACTTTAAACTCTGATGGGAGATAATTTGTACTATTGGGATACTGTTAGTTCTATCTTGGCATCAGAATTGCTTCCTGTTGTAACTGTTGTTTTATCTTCTCCTCTCATGGCTACTCCACCAAGATACTCTGAAGTTCTTCATAAAAATGCCAAAAAGATTTAGGTTTGAAGAGCTTTAAAAAGCACATTTACTTCTCCATAAGAACTTTACTTGCTTCCAGAAGGAGTATGTATTTTTAAACTGAAAAAAAATCTGGGCACTTTTTGCAAAATGACATCAAAATTACCTCTCTATTTCTACCTGCAGTGAAATGGAGTTTACATAAAGAAAGCTGATAGGAAATTGGAGCTTAGAGTATTTTTATAGAAATCTTTTTGGAAAAGCTATTTCTCTTTTGTACAATAATTACATATAAAATTCCTGCTGAAAGACATTCAGCAAAATTAACATGTCCAATGCCCATGCTTTTGCTGGATAAAGTGACCCAGCCATAGATGTCGCCTTAAAAATGAGGGTTGTATGTATGTGCTCATGTGCATGTGTATGTACGTTAGGAAGAGAAGAAGGAAGAGGAAGTTAGGGGGATCTACCCCTTCTCCCCAGATGCTGGTGAATCAGACTCTTATCAAGGATAGATAACTGAAGGAACATCTTTTTCCTTTTGTCCCCTGAAATCCATTTATTTCAGCATTTCTAACCAATGCATTCTCCTTTTCCTCTGATGAGACAGTCCAAAAGGGCAACTTTCATAAAATTCTTGCTTGCTTCTAGGCTCCAGCTTTTTGTCTACTTTGGGGCTTATTACATACTGTTTCATGATTAATGGTAAATGCAGTATGGGACTACTGAGATGTGTTTCGGCTCAATGCCAGTTAATCTGAGGAGCCATTTGAGAAGTAGTTATAGGAACCAGGTGATTTTTAAAAAATCTATCTATCTATCTATCTATCTATCTATCTATCTATCTATCTCTATCATTTTTGTGGCACTGGGGATCAAACCCAGGATCTCACAAATGCTAGGCAAGCTCTCTATCCTTGAGCTGCAGCCCAGCCCTACTAGGTAGAAATTTAAATGCAGGATTTTCTTAGTCCATCTGTGCTGCTATAACAAAATATCACTAATTGGGTGGGTTAGAAACAACAGAGATTTATTTTTTAGAGTTCTAGGGGCTGGGAAGTCCAAGATCGAGGAACCAGCAGATTTACAGTCTGGTGAAATTCTGCTATTTTGGTACATAGATGGCTTTTTTTTTTTTTCTTACTGTGTCCTCAATGATGGAAAGGGTAAAGGCACTCTCTGGGACTTGGTTTTTTCCTTGCAGAACTGGGGATGGAACCCAAGAGCCTCATATGTGCTAAACAAGCATTCTATCACTGAGCTATACCCCCAGCCTCTTTTATTTTATTTTGAGACAAGGTCTTGTTCTGTTGCCTAGGCTGGCCTCCACCTTGTGATCCTCTTGTCACAGACTCCCTAATAGCTGGTATGGAACCACAGCACTCACTTGGGACTTCTTTTATATGGACACTAATCCCATTCATGAAGGCTCTCCTCTCATGACCTAATCACCTTCTGAAGACCCCATCTCCTTGTATCTTCTCATTGGGTATTAGGTTTCAATATGTTAATTTGGGGGACACACACACATTGAGATCATGTCAAGGGTTCATTTTGTTGACTATTCAGTACTCTCTTTTTATGTACACTGGAGTCTAGACCTTGGAAACTTCATGTAGGGGGAGTTAGAATTGTAAGGTGGATGCTTCTTGTCAAACAATTGAAGGATCACAGTCTGCTCAAAGTTCTCTAAGTTTAGACAGGCAAGTCAGAAGGACAAGAGAGAAGCCAGACAGAGCCATTCTAGGGGCACTTGTAGTATGGAAGCAGGAAGAGAAGACCTTCCACTTGTGAGCAGCCTTGCTTGGGAGAGAGCAATAAACAGAGCCCAAAGGACAGTCTGTACATGCTCTGGGACTTCTCCCAACTTCCCTAATTAGGTCAAATAATCCTCTTGTGTAAGAGCAAGTGAGAGAAAGGGGAACAGATGACTGGTAGAATCTTCCCTAATACTTAGCATAAAGTTAATGGTAGAAGTACTTATTTCATGAGCATTAGCAGGAACAAAGAAAAAGAAAGAAAAGGACTCCTTTTCAAAAGCAAAAGGTCTCCAATCTGCCTGACCACCAAAAATAAATTGGGAGTTTTAACTAATAGTTTATTTAGAATTTGCATGTATTTTCTTCATCCTTTTGAATATTTTGGTATTGGGGATTTAACCCAGGGGTATTCTACCACTGAGTCACATCCACAGCCCTTTTTATTTTTTTTTATTTTGAGACAGGATCTCCCTCAGTTTAGTGCCTTGCTAAGTTGCTGAGTCAATCCTCCTGCCTCAGCCTCTGGAGTGCCATCGTGCCTGGCATGTGCCACCATGCCTGGCTAACTGGGAGTTTTAAAAAATTAAAAATTCTTCGACTTCACCAGAATCAGACTCAGATGTTCTAAGGTGGGGCCTAAGAGCCTGTGTTTTTTGAAAATCTGACCTCAAAATTCTGATTAGTTAGTTCTGGGAACATTTGATTTACGCCCTGGGAACTCTCTTCCCAAACCTTTTTCAAGGGCTTCACAGGGCAGAACTATATTTTGTCTGCTGGGAGGAAATAGTTTGGCCCACATGAGTTAAAAAAAAAAGAAAGAAAAGAAAAGAAGAAATCTGGTATAAGCATTAAAACCACAGAAAATGGTTAGTTAGCAACTTAGATTGACTTTTGAATAAGATGGTCTTAAATTGCTTGACAAATTGTGTTTGCAAATGTTGAAAACAACATCCAGATACATCATTGCCAATATTGTCCAAGCTAGTCGAAAAGGAACTTCAATTATTATATAGTGGTCATGTTGGTAACTAGGAGGACTGGGGCTGGGAGCCCGCAGCGTACACACATCACTAGAGTCCTGGCAATCTTCCCAGTCATGCTGATGTCAGTGGGGGCCCAGGAATGGTTTTGTGGTTTCACTGAGCCATGCTTTCAGGAACCAGCTGTCAGGAGTATTTATCCTGCGAGGAAAGAATTAGGCATTTAAAATTCGTTTTTTTTTTCCTCCTTTGAGGAAGAGTGAAGTTTCTGATTTAAGTTTCATTGGTTATCACATTGATTTTTGTTTGTTTCCATTGGACTGAGGATAATATAACAATTAAGGGAGAAATAAGTCTCTGTACTGTAAGGGCTGCACAGGGTTCAGAGCCCAGGTTGTAGCCCCCACTGCAGCCTACCTGGGACCAGTCCTAGCGTAGCTGCTGATGGCTTCACCAGTCATCTGTTGCCCAAATGGGGTCATTTGGTCCAATAAAATGTACCATAATCTGGATTTGGCTTATTCATCTTTATGGCATTGCTTATCTTCTCCCTAGATCCCTGAATTTTTAATAAATTGGTAGTTAGATCTAGAGGCTTAATTTTCAGAAAAGAATGCTTCATACTACAACATTCTTCTTTTTAATTTTTTAAATTGGCCCATTATAATCATACATAGTAATGGGATTCTTTGTGATGCATTCTTACAAGCACCTACCATAATTAGGTGCATTTCATTCCCCAGTACTACCCTTCACCAGTCTCCTTCCTTTATTCTACAGCTTTCCCTTCCATTTTCATAAGATCCCTCTTTTCTTTTTTGTCCTTTTCCCCCTCTAGTTTCTACGCATACTACCACATTCTTAAAAATTCAGACATAGCATTAGCTCCTAAACCCAACTAATGTATTACAACTAATTTGTATGACCTAGTTCATAATTGGGCTCAGATGCACCATGAATTTAAGGGACAGTTTGGTAACAAAAAGAGAAATTCTGTTTACAAAATGGCATTTATTTGAAAGATTTAGTTTTCCTCAGAAGAATGATTTTCTTTTATGGTATCTTTTACCAATTTATTTATTTTTAAATCTGGAATGTTTTGCAAATTTGCATATAATTCTTGCACAGGGGCCATGCTAATCTCCCTATTGTTCCAATTTTAGTATAAGTGCTGCCGAAGCTGTGGCATTTCCCATTTTCATCTTAAAATGGGAAAATACCACCTACCTTCTAAAGTGGATTTATGTTTAAATAAAATAGTGAACATAAAAACATTCACTATAGGGCTTGGCTTAGAGTATGCTTTCAAATAATATTAGCTTCCTTTGTTTCTTCTACAATTATTATTATTATTATATTATTATTATTATTATTATTATTATTTGGTACAGGGGATTGAACTCAGCATTGCTTAACCACTGAGCCACATCCCCAACACATTTTTATATTTTATTTAGAGGCAGGGTCTCGCTGAGTTGCTAAGTGTCTCACTAATTTTCTGAGTCTGGCTTTGGACTTGCAATCTTCCTGCCTCAGCCTCTCCAGTCACTGGAATTACAGGCATGAGTCACTATGCCGGGCTTTACATGTATTTTTGAACACCCTTTCAAGCCCAGCTCAATGTCAGGTGTTGTATTGGGAGTTAAAAGAAGTTAAAAGAACTAGATTCTCAATAAATGTATTTTAATATTGAGCCATAAATGTGGTTTATGCCCCAAAGGAACTTTGGTGCAATGGGAACACACATACACACACACACACACACAACCAAGTTGTGATAACAGAAAGGGCTGGAGGTGTTCTGCTGTCGATCACTATTGAGAATTTACAAGATGGAGTCCTTGTAGAGAAGGTGAGACTAAAGCAATATGAGGAAAATATGGGGAACATTGGCACAAGCACATTCATTCCAGACCTGAGGAATATTATAGCAGGTGAAGGAGCAGAGAAATATAAGCAAGGGCATTTTCCTAATAAGCAGATTCATGTGACTGGTTAGAAAGGAAAGCTGCTGAAACAGAATCACGAAAGGCTGTGTGCAGACTGGGGTGAAATTGAGGATGGCCTCAGATGCCCTTTGAATTTTATCCTAGTCCACAGAAGAATGGGTTATATGATAAAGTAAGTATGTAGGAAAGTGAATTTAGAGCATAATGGATTGGGAAGACGTAAGGACTAAAGGATATCAGTTGCAGAGTACTATTAAAATCCTGGAACCAGGGGAAAGAATCTTGGGTGACTTCTTGCTCATGTGGATTTATTTATTAATTTATTTTTTTATTTTTTTAATTTTTTTTTTATTTTGCTCATGTGGATTTAGATCATGAAAATAATAGCGTTAGGCTGTAACACACAGTGTTTATCTGAGTTCTAATGTTTGAAGCATATTGGTTTGGAGTTCTCAAAGTATTTTTTTTTCAAGTAAGTGATAACAGCCAAGATGGTTTATAGTACCAAGAATAAGTAGGATGCTGGGATTCCAGATGTCCTGAAGCCCTAGGGATCCCTCCAATATGATGGTTCAGGCTTTGCAGAAGAGGATCGCTTTAATGCTAGACTGCTAGTGCTATCTGATTAGTAAAATGGGAGTAAGTATGGGTAAAACAAAACACACAGTATATACTAAATGCTTGATTTCTGCAAGTTAGTATCCTCTGTGCCAAATATAGTGACCAGAGGAAGGGTCGGGTTTATACTACTGTCACAGTGGTGGCAAGATAAATGCCCAGGCTTACCATTAGTCTTTTATTTGTTCCCAGTGGGTCTTAGCTATTTTGTATTTAACCTTGGAGAGTGCAAAGAGGATAGAGTGCATTGGAGAGGTGGAAACATGATAAATGAAGTGCTGGTTGTCCCCATGGGCTCCTCTGTTTGAATCTCTCACCTAATGAGTGGTCACATCAGCTACTCTGGCTGAGGGAATGGGCATCATATTATAAAAGTACGTCTGCATCTTTGCTTTTACAAGGCCTTTCCCCTTTGCAGGTAACAGCTATTCTGCAACACCTCCTTGTGATAAATTGAGACTGATTTTCCATCAGAGGGAACTCAGGTGAGAGATGAAGGGTTTTTATTATTATCATCAGGGAGATCATCAGGGAGACAGAGAGGTTTAGTCCACTGGGCTGTGAGGCCCAGGCATTTCATAGGGACAGGATGTTCTGTATTTTTTGAAATGTGAATCTCAACACCAAAATATAGTAGTACTCACTGTTGTTGAAATTTAAAAACTTTCTGAGGCTTGTAAATATGCATGTAGAAACCACATATGGTTGCTTAAAACAAGTCTTTGACTGTAAATGTGTAGTTCTGGTTGCTAATTTTGTGCAGCCAGTTTGATAAGAATGAGGGTCAGGCCGATGGATCATGATCTTCGGGACTGATTTTTATATTCTTCAGTAAGTGACTAATGAGTGAAAGTGTCTGGGTTTTTGTAGGTTTTACTCAGAAATAACATTTTTCCCCTCAAGTGTTTCTCCATACTTTGAATTGACCTGAGCTGTGGAAAATAAAACTGAAATGGGCCCAACAAAGGAACTGCTTCTCTGAATGCTGACAGAATCTTTTGCTGGCTTTGGACACTGGGTGGCAGACATGCTCTTGTTAAGATTTGGTGAGCGTGTTTGAAGAGCATCTTGGCCCTGACAGGGATGATGAGCTCTCTTAATTAAAAAGTGAACCCCCGCCCCCACCCCAAAGGCCACCCAGGATGTTCCCATCGAAATAGAAATCTATTTTGCCATCCGTGGGGAGCATGTTTTCACATTATTGATGGCTTGGCTGGGGAAACTTGTGAAGCCTTTCAATTCATTTCATAATGGAATGGGGTCACTAGGATCTTAACCTCCCATTCGTCAAAGGTGAGTATTGGGAGATAAATGAAATCTGGATTTAAAATGCTGATGTCATGTTTAGTACTAAAAATATTTTCATGAGACTCTTGTGATCCTAGAACAGGCTAACAGAGCAGACCATGAGTTATAATTTTCTCTCATGATTGTGGAGAGAGAAATGCTTCCTTGTACATTATAGAACTAAAGATTTAGGTTGATCCTGAGCAATCATCTAATGACTAGGATCTCTTCAAGGGAGATTCAACCTTGGCTGTGGCTGAAACTCACCCAGTGCTTTCAAAAAGTACAGGTGCCTGGATGCTGGATACAGTGTCCCTGGAGGTGAATCACATGCACAGGAGGTTTTCATTGGAAAAGCTGCATAGGTGGATCTAGAGTGAAAGCTACATCCTTGAGTAATATTTGTAATTTCTTAAGCATGTGCGCGCACACACACACACACACACAACACATTTGTAAGATCAGCCTTAAGAGGGGGACAGCCCACAACTGTTGTTTAGGAGTACAGAAAGGTTCCAGATGTCCCCAATCCATTTTTCTCTTCAGATTAGTAAGAATTTTGTCACTGTTATTTTTTTAAATGTATTTGAGGCTAAAGGGCATCATTCACTATCAGCTTTTAGCATTATAGTTCTGAGTTATTATATTCTGAAAAATGATCAATAAGTCACTGGGCATAAAGCACTGGGTAGATCAATGTTGAGAAAAGTTTAAGATCTTGCTTCCTTTTGGGAAGAAAAGGACTAGGTCTGTGGAGGCACAGAAATTCAAGGGCCACCCAGATTGTGGCAGAAGGATTGAGATTTGTGGATTTGGATGTTCTTCAAGACAGATTTTATATGTTTCACAAAATTGTCATTTGCTGCCCAGCCTCACAGTGTGGAAGAAGTGAGTGTGATGGTTTATGTCTTCCCTGGGTGAAGATGGGAGAAGAGGAACCCAGTGTTGTCAGGGGTGGTTGTAGTCTCTGAGGAATGGTGGAGACAAGACTGCTCTTCGTGGAGGTCTTAGAATTCAAGGCTGAGCTACGTCTCTAAGACACCCTAAAGGTAGATTAAGAAGTAAAAAGTACTGTCTGTTAGCCAAATGAACAAGAACATAATATATTTGATTATTATTTTCCTCTAGTTGATCTGTTATTTTAGTGTTATATAAGCATATCCTGAATAATCAGCCAATTTTGAGTCAGTTGCATTCAAAATTGGTTCAGTGGCAAAAAAAGTTGCACTTTTTATTGGCATAAATATAACATAAAAATAAAGTACAAAAAGTTTTGATTGATTGTAGCTTTCACTTTCAGCATGGTTATGGCATTGTTACTCAGTCTAGGATTTAAAACACCTGGAACACTGTAGTGTTCAGTTTAAAATGGTTTATATTTTTCTTACATAAATTTTACTCCAATTAGAACAAAAGATAAAAAAAACCCCAAAATGCAAAATCTTCTACTCAGAGGAAAATTTCCTCTTTACTATCCTACTATCTATCAATTCTAAATAGGTGTTTTTTTTCTTAAACAAATCTCTAGAGCTTTTTTTTTTTTTTTTTAAATCTGTTATGTTCTTTAGTAATACACATTTTATTACACTCCAGGAAAGCAAATACAGAATTCAGAATAGATAATGAACTGTGTGCTAGTGACATTTGGTATTCACTGGCTGCCCATGTGGTTAATCAATCTCAGAAATACATGCTTTGAAAACCAATTTGCTTTTCCTTCCAATATTTACAGTAATCTTGTTCCAGTTCCTAATTAATGGGCATGTTTAACCATAATAAAACTAGTAGGGTCTAGGAGGAGAGCCTTTAACCAAAGCATCTAAGCCAGCCTTAGGGTACCCCAAACTTCTAAATTTTGCATGTGACATCGAAGGATCTGGTGTGGGGAGATGAGCCTCAAGGCCTCTTGTATCACAGATTCTAATTTCTGTGAAACTAGAAATAAATACATACTTCCAAACTAGATTAAAAAAATACATTGTTAGAAACCTCAATTTTTCTGAAGATAAATCTCATAAATATTCCTTTGGAATCTAGTCAAGTATTTATATATAACTTTAGCACAGAAATGGAAGTGTTGGCAACTATAAATATTTCTGACATTATGTCTTTTTGGTGTTCCTTTTCAAAGTCACAGGAAGAACAGTCAAGCACTCCTGATTCTCTTGGAAAGAGCATTATCCAAAGCTCACTGGTTGCTGCAAGAGTGGCTGGGAGATGGTTTGAAAGAGTGGCTTCTGATTTTAGCAGGCTGAACTAAACTAAAGCAAAAAGTTTAAAGTTAGCAGGAAGTCGCTATTCTTATGTAAGATGAACCATAGGCCAGAAAGACCCT